CTCCATGACTTTCCTAACTGAGGCGCTGTAACCTGGAATTGTGAGCTGAAAAGTCGCTTTTGTTGGAGTATTTTATCACAGCCAAGAGAAAACAAACAGAAATCGAGAAACAAGTCGTGCTGTAACAAACCCGAGCACGTGACTTCCACGTCTCCAGATTGTTTTGTAGGAAGAATGCGGAAGAGAATCTTGGGCTAGGAAAGCCACTGAATACTATAAACAAAGATTAATGACCCACCTAAGTGGAGCCTAGAAGAGAATGATGCAGAGAAAGATGCAGGCAGTGGGGGCCTAGCTCATGAGGTTGCTGGGGACAGCAGGGATGTGATCAGAAACTGTGTCAGGGGCTGTTTCGATAGTCTGGTCAGAATCTGGCTTCGTTCTGCCTGCATCTTGGGAACCTGAGTGAGCTGAATGTAAAGATAATGAATGGATCTGTTTATTTGAAAAGTATGTGGGCAAGCTTTAGGATTTGTCAGAGACAGCCCAGACAACAAAGCAGCTGTAACTACTACAGAGATTGTGTCATTTTAAGCTTGGTGTTCTGCTGAAGACGATAGAAAAGTGTCCCATCATGGTGAGCGCACAGAAGCTAGCACAGCTGCCATCCGAAACGGCAGAGTACATCTTGAGCTGGCAACAGAATTGGCAAAGCTATCCATGTAGTACTGGTTTTGAGGGCATGGAAGGGGCAATACTGAGGGACAGAGCAGATGAGGCCAGTGTGTGGCAGGGTGGGAATCCCTGAGCGGAGGTCCTGAGAGGCCACTGTGGACAACTGTGATGGTGAGGCCCTAGTGGCAACGGTGATAATATTGGTGATGCCAGGACCGTGGGACATGTGCCAAGTGGAACAGAAAGCACAGAACCGAGACAGCCCAGGAGAGAATCTGTGCGTGCCAAGGGCAGCAGAGCTGGGGAGGGGGGCAGTTAAGCTTTGGGGAGTCCAGCTGATTACAAGTCCCAGCTGGAGGCATTCGGAATTGCTTTGGTGTGATGAAGCCTTGTCATGCCTTGCTCTGTTTTAGGATGGGAGTGTTCACTCTATGCTGTGTATGTTAAAAATTCACAGTTAACCTTAATACTTATTCAACCTGCTTTCTTGTAGAACCCAAGACCACCAGCCTAGGAGTGTCCCCACCCACAGTGGGCTGGGCCCTCCCCTTCAATCACTAATTAAGAAAATGCCTTACAGACTTTTCTGCTTACAGCCCATTCTGGAGCCATTTTCTCAACTGGGGCTCCCTCCCCTCAGATGACTGTAGCTTGTGTCAAGCTGACACAACACCAACTAGCACAATTGACCCCATGTCTCCCGACACACAAACATTACTGCTAAGCCACAGTCTTTCCTTCAAGATCACACATTAATATAAACAACACAATACAAAAATTTTCAAACATAAGTCCCACAGTCTTACAAATTCAAAGACTTTAAATGTTGTCTCTTTAAAACTATTCAGTCTCTTTTAAAAAGCCAAAGTCTCTGCAGAACTCCAAAATCTCTCTTTTTTAAGTTTGATATCTATTAATTGGGTTATGTAGTGTTTTTTGTCTTTGTTTTGTTTTTGTTTTTGTTGTTTTCTAAAGAAGAGGAAAGGGCATAAAAGTAGAAAGGAAAGAAGGAAGGAAGGAAGGAAGGAAGGAAGGAGAAAGTATTGGGAAAGGCACATGGGAGGAGGGAACAGAGGGTGGAGGGTGGACAGGATCAAGTACATTGTACACATGTATAAAGTTGTCAAGAATAAAGAGTCTTAAAAATAAATATTTAAAAAAATTTAAATATATTTTTTAAATCTCATCTGTGGGCTCCTGTCAAATCAAAAATAAATACTTTCCTGCTTCAAGAGGGAAGACCCAGAGCGCAGTTACAATATGAACAAAAAAAAAACCAAAATTTCAGCAGTGAAAATAACTCAATGTCTAATACCTTGGATTCACTCAACATCTGGGCTCCTCCAAGGGGCTTGGGTCACTTCCCCAGCTCTGCCCTCTGCAGCACACACAGCTCGTCTTCTAGGCTCTGGCTGGCTCTACTCCACTGCTGCTGCTGTTCTAGGTACTGGCATTGTAACAGGAGGTTTCTCTCTTGCCCGCCACTTCCCGAATAAGCATTCTAAGGCTTAATATTAATTACAAACTGTTTGGCCTATTAGCTCTGACTTATTATTAACTAGCTCTTACAACTTAAATCAATCCACTTCCATTATTCTATACTTTACCACGAGGCTCATGGCTTGTTACCTCACATCTTGCTTCTCCAGCTGCTGCTGGCGTCTCCCTGACTCGGCCCTTTTTCCCCCTGTATCTCTGTTTGAATTTCCCACCCGGCTCTATTCTGCCTGACAACTAGCCAAATCAGTTTCTTTATTAACCAATGATAATAAAACATATTCACAGCATACAGAGAGGCATCCCACATAAGACATCTCCAAAATGCTGGGGTCTTCTGCTCCAACTGGGCTGAACTTTCACTAATAGCCTCTCCTGGGCTCTCTTCATGATCCCTTTAATCCCGGGATTAAATCTTGAAAGCTGCTAGTGAGGCTGAAATTCACCAATGGCCTTCCTGGCCCCGGTTGTTTCCAACCTTCAGCTGCTCCCATGACTCTTTCATACCTTCAAAGCCAGTACCACTGTGGTGAATGCTACACTTCCAAGATTGACTGCCAAGGCTGGCCGCCTCGACAACACAGCGTGCATGTGCACGAGGAAACACCTCCCAGAAATATTTCACCTCAAAGGTGTTGGTTTCTTCTTAATCACCACTAATTTCTCAGTGCCATCTGACCAGCATAAATTGTACCCATGAAGCCAAGATCTCACATCAGTGATGCCAGTCTCTTGTTAATATGGCTGACTCCTCAGTTCCAGCTGACCAGGACCACAGACTCTTGCTTCAAAATGGCAAATGTTCAACGGCCCTGATAGTCTTTAAGTAACTCTCTAATTTCCCTCTGGAACATGACGAGCCAGGCCTCCCCATCTGCATTTCTCTCAACATTCTTTTCTTCCATGCTCCCACAGAACATCTCACCAAGCTTTGAACATCCAATGGCTTTTCTCACCCAAAGTTCCAATGTCCTTCTGCAATCCTCCCCAAAGAGCATACTCATGTCTGCCTCAGCAATGCATCACAGTGCTGTAACAACTTCTGTCTAGTTAGGGTTACTTTGCTGTGATGACCAAAAACAAGTTGGGATAAAAGAGTTTATTTGGCTTACACTTCCATATCATTGTCCGTCATCAAAGGAAGTCAGGATACATCAAACAAGGCAGGAACCTGGAGGCAGGAACTGATGCAGAGGCCATGGAGGGGTGCTGCTTGCTGGCTGGCTCCTCATGGTTTGCTCAGCCTGCTTTCTTAAAGAACTCTGGACCACTAGCCCATGGGTAGCACAATTCACAATAGGCTTGGCCTGCCTACATCAGTCACTAACTAAGAAAATGCCCTATAGACTTGCCTATAGCTCAATCTTATAAAACCATTTCCTCAACTGAGGCTACCTCCTCTCCAATGAATCTAGCCTGTGGCAAGTTGACATAAAACTAGCCAGCATGGTGAGGGAGGCCTAAATCTAGAGTTAAGTTATGAAACAAAATTATAATCTTTCATTTCATCTTTTTGTTCCATAGCTTTTTGTGTTATCTGTAGTTTTAGTGTACATTTGTGTATGGGTTATCTACTGTATAACAAATCCCTTGAAAACTTAGTGGTTTAAAACAAGATATATCTTTATATCTCAAGATTTCTCTTTTTTTGTTTTTATTTTGTTTTGATTTTGTTTTGGGGTTGAGGGCAAAATAGTTTCAACTTAGGTAACCAAGGATAGCCTTGAACTCCTGATATTCTGGAGTTCTGGGTCCACAGACCTACACATCCACATCTAGCTATTTCAGGGTTTCTATGAGACTATTCCTGCTTCAGGATAAGGTAGTAATCAAAGTGTTATCTGGGAAGGTTTCATCTAAAAACAACTAATATTTACTTCTGAGTTCACTCTAGTGATTGCTGGAAGGACCTGCTCCCTGCAGACTATTGAAGCCCAACATCCATTCCTTTAGAGCTGCTGGCTTCTTTCTACACAGCCTTTCCAAAGAGACAGAGCCAATAGCAATAAGTAAGTGCAAGCACTATCAATATGGATGTCTTCCGGAGTGAACACTGTGTCTGTCCACCTCACCTCAGTGATCTAAGACTGACCATGGATGTCTTCTGGAGTGAACACTGTGTCTGTCCACCTCACCTCAGTGATCTAAGACTGACCATGGATGTCTTCTGGAGTGAACACTGTGTCTGTCCACCTCACCTCAGTGATCTGAGGCTGACCATGGATGTCTTCTTCCATAGGGAACACTCTATGTCTGTCCACCTCACCTCCCATTAGACTCTAAACTCTTTGAAGGCTAGAACCACACTAATCTGTTCATGACTATTTTTCCAGCATCGATTACATTACACAACAAAAAGTGAGACTTCAATGTGCTTGTCAAAATAATAAGAGAATGGGGATATTTATTGTTTGTATACTACAGTTTAAACAGGACAAAGAACATTTTTGTTATCACTCATCTTTAATATATACAAAGAAACACAACTCTTATTTCTGTTTCAACTTTTTTTTGTTTGTTTGCTGGAGACAAGGTCTCACTTGCCCTGGTTGGCATGGAACTGGCTTTGTGGACAGGCTGCCTCTGTTTCATAAGTTCTATGATTAAAGTACACAGTACTGCCAGGTGGTAGCAGTACACACCTTTAATCCCAGAACTCGGGAGGCAGAGGCAGGTGGATCTCTGTGAGTTCAAGACCAGCCTGGTCTAAGTGAGTTCCAGGACAGACTCCAAAGCTACACAAAGAAACCCTGCCTCAAAAATAAAAAAGTATATACCACCATACCCAACTTCTGTTACAACTTTCTATTGCTAACCTGAGCACATATTCAAATGCAAAATACTATGAAGATAAATGTGCAATAATGGTGGATACTGAAGTTACCTACCAGACATAAATATTGAAGAAAAAGGCAGTATTTTCAACAGTGTTAGGAAAACTTGACATCTATACATAGAAAAATGCACTGGATCCTTGTCTCCCACTCTGTACAAAAATCAACTCCAAGTAGATCACAGATCTATGCACAATTTGAAACTGTGAAAGGAAAATATAAGGAGTAGATTTCAGTGTCTATCATAGGTAAAGATTGCTTGAGTAGAACTGTGGTTACTCAGGAAGCAAGATTAATAATAGACAAATGACATCTCGTTACATTACCAAGCCACTGTTCAAAAACAGTTCAGTGATGATGCACCTCACGAGCAGGAGGAAATCCATGTCAGTGACACATCTGATAGCGGATTAGTGTCTAGAATATACAAAGAAAAAATATACAACCCTTGCAACCTGCCTGAGGGACATGTGTACCTCACCTGCATTCCTCCTAGCACCCCCTCTTCAGATCAACACATCTCTCAACCCTTAGCTGAAAAGTTCGTATTTGTAGTGTACAGTGATTAACACAGAGACCTACAACTGGTCAAGGTGTAGAAAATTAGAGGCTGCAGAATTCTCAGGCCTAAGCGGAATGTATATGCAGCACCCCGTCTTCCTAGCTTCAGGGTTCATTGTGGAAGAGGAGACAGAAAGAGTATAAGAAACAGCAATGGTAGGTGTCTCCAAGAAAACAGTGTCCTCTGGACACAGCAGGGCAGCTGCTAATATGAATTTACAGCAGTTATGGCAGCGTGCACAATACAGTTTCTCTGAGAGGCATTACCTGGTCAGTCAACCACTCTCCAGAGGAAGACCACACATCCAAGAACATTTGGGAATCGCAAATTGGTCTTGATGTGTTTTGAGTGGATAGGGGAAGTGGGAGTGGATCTGAAAAGAATTGGGGGAGGGTAAAAGAATATGATCAAAACATGTCATTGTAGGAAACTTTCAATGAACTATTAAATCATAAAAAGTTAAATATCAAGAAAATAAAAACCCCAATCAAAAAATGGCCTATACAACTGAATATAGCATTCTCAGAAGGAGAAATACAACTGATTAACAAACATTTAAGGTGCTCAATATCCTTGACCATTAGGGAAATGGAGACTAAAACTACTTTGAAATTCCATTTTACCCATGTCAGAAGGAAAGGGGGTAGGTGGAAGGAAGCCCTTATTCATTTTTAGTGAGTGTGTTAATTGTGAAGCCATTATGGAAATAAATCTTGAAGTGCCTCAAAAAACACTAAAAATAATACTACCTATGAGCCAGTTATACCGTTCCTGGGCATATACCCAAAGGAGTCATTGGTCATATAGAGAACTAACTAATTCTAGAAAAAGGTTTCATCTACCTTTCTTTTTTTATTTATTTTATATTTTTTATATTTTTTATTTTTGAGATTTTAAATTTAATTAAAACATTTATCCCTTCCCATTCTTCCCTCCAAACCCTTCCATAGTCTTCCCCTCTTCTTCAATTTCTGTACATGATTTTGGGTTTGAGTCTCTATCATCTTTCTGCAGTGAACCATGAACACATCTAACAGCAACCTTTTAAGTCTCCAAAAGAAGTATGGGACCCACAACATCGATTATAACACCACTAAGCTGAAAACACCACCTAAAGATTGGCTTTGGACTACAAGCTTCTCAGAACAATTTCAAGGTGACTAGCCGAGATGATTCAGACTGACAAACTGCTCTAGCCAGGACGTGAAACACTTTCCCATTACTCAGAGACTGGACAAAAAAAAAAAAATGATATAGCTACCTCCCCCAGAACTTGACAATTAAACAAAAATTTCTCTTTTCAGGATCCTTTAAAGATACTGTCACCCTCCAACAGCAGGAAGTAAATTTAAGAATATGACACCCATATTCCTAAGAGGTGGGGTGAATGGTTTTTGGTCATTCAATGGGTTATAGATATTTATCATTGTTTAGAGGGAATTGGTTACAAGTTGTTACTGGTAATGGTCAGAAAAACAAAACAAAACAAAGGAAATTAGATTCCAGGTCCTTGTTTTTAAAAGAAAAAGGGGAGATATAGATATGCTAGGATAAAAGGGTAGATTATTGAATGTACGCTGAAAAGAAAAAAGGGAGGACATAGATACAACAAGATTATAAAGGTAGATTATCAAATCTACTTTTAGAAAGCAACTATTAGTTTTAAATATTTTACATTGGATTGGACTTTTGTATATTGTATACAAATTTTATATATTGATACAAATTTGAAATTAATTTTGTTAAAACATACCGTACATACATTTCTAACCTTGGTCAAAGTATTGTTCCTAAACAATTCATTTAACAATGTAATATAAATTTCTAGTCCTTGCAAGTTATTATTACCAACTGTTTAGGATAATAAGGAAATTACATTTAAACTTGCCATCACATTAGATATGTTTTCAAGGTCAAATAGAGATATATTTTAAGTAGATAGGTCATCATCAAACGCTTCAGAAATCTATAGAATATAGCATTTAAGATGTCTTAATAACATAGGTTCTTTTTCCTTTTTTTTATACAGCATGACATGTCTGCTCCTGTCATGCACAAGTCTACTTCAGAGAAGATGATAGAAACTGAAGAAGCTCCACATGGAGTTTTCTTTCTTGTGACAAAAGGAAGCCACTGAGTAAAAAAAAAAAAGTGCCCTTGCCTCAACTGCTGACAGTATGCTGAACTAATGGGACAAGCAGGACACAAAAGAAAGTGACTGCCAAACCTTGCCCAGACAAGGTAGAGCAGTCCTTCAAAAACCATGCTTCATAGAAAAGTCTGTCAGATAGGCTAGGCCTGTAAGATGAAGATGGACACCCCACCTTTCAGAGGAACTTTGGGGGACTGTTTAGAAAGCCGCTGTTTCTGTCATTTCTTACATTTTTGGGAAGTTACTTGCTTACACTCCCTGATTATCTTGGGTCTCTGAGGGCATTAAAAACCAGATAGTTATAGTTTTCCTTGTTTACCAGACTCAGAAAGCAAGTTATGGTAGAAAGTAAATTAGGTACAAGACTTTGGACTCACTAAGATAGGATAGAAAATGGAGAATTTTCTCTGAATTTCTCAAATGCAAACAGACTGGACATTGTTGATGTATTTATTGCCTGAATATATTGTATATAGCAGTTGTACTTATTGTACATAGTTTTCTTTAATTAATTATAACCTTCCTTTTTATTTTAGACAAAAAAGGAGAAATATAGTGGTACATTATTCATATTTTAATAAATGAAATTTGCCTGAAGATCAGTGCTAACAGCCACACTAGTCATCCACACAGACCAGGCAGTGGTGGCACACACCTTTAATCCCAGCAGCCACACTAGTCAGCCATAGATCCTGTGCAGTGATGGTGCATGCCTCATGCCTCTAATCACAGCACTAGAGAGGAATATAAGGCAGGATGAGACAGGAATTAGCTCTCTTTCAGTCTGAAGGTTTCAAAGAAGTAAGAGCTCTCTAGGGATTTGGCTGTTCTGCTTTTCTGATCCTCAGATTGAACCCCAATATCTATCTCTGGGCTTTATTATTCATGCTACAATGCTCAGCAGGCTCATTTGGTAGAGCATGAGACTCCTAATCTCAGGGTTGTGGGTTGGGCCCCACATTGAGCACCAACTGTAGCTCAAATAATAAAAACCCAGAGACAGTTATTGGGGTTCAACCTGAAGATCAGAAAAGCAAAAGCAGCCCGGTCGCTAAAGAGTCTTACCTCCTTGAAATCTTCAGACTGACAGTGATCAACTTCCTGTCTCATCCTACCTTATATTCCTCTCCAGTGCTGGGATTAGAGGTGTGCACCACCAACACCCGGCCTCTATGGCTAACACCATACTACAGAGATTTCTGCTCATCCATATTCATAATAGAAAGAAAATGGAAGCAGCCTCGATGTCCATCAACCAATGAATGGACAAGGAAAATGTGGCAATGCACACAAATGAATGTTATTCAACCATAAAGAAAATAAAATGATAAAGTGTGCAGAAAAACATACGGAATAGGAAAATATAGTGGTATAACTCAGACTCAGAAAGACAAATGCCACATGTTCTCTCTCATGTGTGGACCAGAGCACTGAAATTCTAACTTTATGTGTTTAACTTGGAGTGTCCACAGAGACCAGGAAGCTGGAAAAGGCCCCGAGGAAGGAGGAAAAGACTTGGATTTAAAATCCAGCTCTGCTGCGTATCAGATTTGCCTTAGGCAAACCTCTCTTTAGCTTGACCATTTTAAAAATAGTTATGAAAGTTTACACTACATGAGGCTTTCTTAAAAGATTGAAGAGTAATACTTTACTCGTGTGTGTGTGTTGTGTGTGTGTGTGAGTGTGTGTTGTGTGTGTGTTGTGTGTGTGTGTGTGTGTGTGTGAAACTAGGTGATTATGTAAGGGTTCCTGCAATAACTTTTTATCCTCCCAGGAAGAGAGAGGAACACACACCCAGACAGAGAGAGACAGAGACAGAGAGAGGCAGAGATGGAGAAAGACACACACACAGAGAGACACAAAAAGAGACAGAGACAGAGAGCGAGAACACTAGCGTGTGAGATGTAAACAGCTCCAGCAAAGGCGATGCGAGCTCTCCAGAGCAGGCCTATGTGTCTAACTTCCTAAGCATGCTCCCGTTCAACCATCCTTTAACCCGGGTTCCTGGAACTCTTTCTTCAGAGAGCCCAGAGGATGCAGAGATGTGAAGGCTTTCCTGCGGTGATCTTATCTCTGAGGTGGATATACATAAATGCTATCTCCCTCCATGAGCCCCAGAGTTCTTTACTTCCAGAATTTCCCCATAGATAACACTGTTGTTGAGAGGACAAAGTCTTGCTGGCCACTAGACATTCCAAGATGAACAGCCCCACTGACTGACTGCACGGTCACTCATCATGAAAGTGGGCATGGGAGAGCAATGAAGGGGAGGGCCCAAAGTGAACAGACAGCCCTTTATATATGTCTGATGCAAAGGAAAGGTGTGTTTTCCTCACACAGGACAAAGGCCCTTGCATAGCCTTTACCAAGATACACAATGGTATAAACAGGAATTTTACGGTCTT